CAGGTCATCCACTGCCTGTGCCAGGGCCACACCTAATATAGTCAGCAGTAATCCTTGGCATATTCGAAGTTGTGTCATCTTACCAGTCTCTGTAAACAGAAAGAGCCTCAGCATATGTAAATCTTAATGTCAATAAAGAGAACAGTGTGTCCAAAATCAGCACTGCTAGAGGAAAATGAACACAGTTGTGCAGTATCCACTGCATGCTGACAGTCATCAAACTTTGCTTTTATACAGCTATGAAAGACTAATAAAAAATCTGGCTGATGCCAATAACAACCAATTTAAAATTGGCATTCAGGAGTACATACATAGCAAGTATACCTGGAGAGGGTTTTGGGTGTCAACGCCCCCAGTGCCTGGTCTGTGACCAGGCCTCATGGTGGATCAGGGCCTGATCAACCAGGCTGTTACTGTTGGCCACACATAAACCAATGTATGAACCACAGCCCAGCTGATCAGGTACTGCCTTTAGGTGCCTGTCCAAAGCCTTCTGGAAGACAGCAAGTTGACCAGTGAACATTAAAATGTTATAAAATACCGACAAGTTGACCAGTGGCTAGCAGAGTGAAGCATCATCAGGAGTAAAACAACTGTTTGTATGTGTAGTGCAAGTGTACATGTGCAATGGTCAACTTACCAAACCTTTCACATGCATCCACCCAACTACAGTGGACCCCCGGTTAACGATATTTTTTCATTCCAGAAGTATGCTCAGGTGCCAGTACTGACCAAATTTGTTCCCATAAGGAATATTGTGAAGTAGATTAGTCCATTTCAGACCCCCAAACATACACGTACAAATGCACTTACATAAATACACTTACATAATTGGTCGCATTGGGAGGTGATCGTTAAGCGGGGGTCCACTGTATTTGTAATAGTGGACCTTACAATATGGAACACAGATACAGTTTGTATGATTTCTATAAACACAAGTTGTTTTTATTTCTATAAACAGTCATTTTAAAATTTTCGATTTACTTTTCTTGTTTATGATAAAATATATTACACATTCCATGAATACAAAATACAAGATTTTTAAATACATGTCTAAATGAGACACACAACACAAGAATCTCAGTGAAAATTAGATGTACAGTATTTCAGTCGCAGTGCAATCCAAGGAAGGTATCCCCATATTCAATAATCCCAGTCCCTTGTGCCTCAATGTATGCAACTGGAATAGTGCAGAGTGCAGAATAAATTGACAATACTGTTAAATATTAGCAATGAAGATTTGAAAGGGAATCAGAAGAGGAATTCCAAAGTCATCATATGGATACTATTATCAAAATTTCAATAAAAACTGTAAATTAGGACATACTACTGGTAGGCAGACTGGACAGTCCCTAACTACTGGTAGACAGACTGGACAGTCCGTAACTACTGGTAGACAGACTGGACAGTCCCTAACTACTGGTAGACAGACTGGATGGTCGCTAACTACAGGTCGACAGACTGGACGGTCCCTGACTACTGGTAGACAGAATGGACAGTCCCTAACTACTGGTAGACAGACTGGACGATCCGTAACTACTGGAAGACAGACTGGACGGTCCCTAACTACTGGAAGACAGACTGGACAGTCCCTAACTACTGGTAGACAGACTGGACAGTCCCTAACTACTGGTAGACAGACTGGATAGTTCCTAACTACTAGTAGACAGACGATAGTCCTAACTACTGGAAGACTGGACAGTTCCTAACTACTGGAAGACAGACTGGACAGTCCCTAACTACTGGTAGACAGACTGGACAGTCCCTAACTACTGGTAGACAGAGTGGACAGTCCCTAACTACTGGTAGACTGGACAGTCCCTAACTACTGGTAGACAGACTGGATGGTCCCTAACTACTGGCAGACAGACTGGACAGTCCCTAACTACTGGTAACTGACAGCCAAACTGTAGACGACTGGACGCCCTGACTACTGGTAGACAGACTGGACGATCCGTAACTATTGGAAGACAGACTGGACGGTCCCTAACTACTGGTAGACAGACTGGACGGTCCCTGACTACTGGTAGACAGACTGGACGATCCGTAACTATTGGAAGACAGACTGGACGGTCCCTAACTACTGGAAGACAGACTGGACGTCCAACTACTGAAACAGAGGACAGTCCCTAACTACTGGTAGACAGACTGGACAGTCCCTAACTACTAGTAGACAGACTGGATAGTCCCTAACTACTGGAAGAGACTGGACAGTCCCTAACTACTGGAAGACAGACTGGACAGTCCCTAACTACTGATAGACAGACTGGACAGTCCCTAACTACTGGTAGACAGACTGGACAGTCCCTAACTACTGGCAGACAGACTGGATGGTCCCTAACTACTGGCAGACAGACTAGACGATCCCTAACTACTGGTAGACAGACTGGACGGTCGCTAACTACAGGTAGACAGACTGGACAGTCCCTAACTACTGGTAGACAGACTGGACAGTCCCTCACTACTGGTAGACTGGACAGTCCCTAACTACTGGTAGACAGACTGGATGGTCCCTAACTACTGGCAGACAGACTGGACAGTCCCTAACTACTGGTAGACTGGACAGTCCGTAACTACTGGTAGAACAGACTGGAGGTCCCTAACTACTGCAGAAGCAGGCTGGACAGTCCCTAACTACTGGTAGACAGACTGGACGGTCCCTGACTACTGGTAGACAGACTGGACGATCCGTAACTATTGGAAGACAGACTGGACGGTCCCTAACTACTGGTAGACAGACTGGACGGTCCCTGACTACTGGTAGACAGACTGGACGATCCGTAACTATTGAATACAGACTGGACGTCCCTAACTACTGGAAGACAGACTGGACAGTCCCTAACTACTGGTAGACAGACTGGACAGTCCCTAACTACTGGTAGACAGACTGGACGGTCCCTAACTACTGGTAGACAGACTGGACAGTCCCTAACTACTGGTAGACAGACTGGACAGTCCCTAACTACTAGTAGACAGACTGGATAGTCCCTAACTACTGGAAGAGACTGGACAGTCCCTAACTACTGGAAGACAGACTGGACAGTCCTACTGTAGACAACTGGACAGCCTAACTACGTAGACAGCTGGACAATCCTAACTACTGGCAAGACAGACTGGATGGTCCCTAACTACTGGACAGACAGACTGATGACGATCCCTAACTACTGGTAAGACAGACTGGACGGTCGCTAACTACGGTAGACAGACTGGACAGTCCCTAACTACTGGTAGACAGACTGGACAGTCCCTAACTACTGGTAGACTGGACAGTCCCTAACTACTGGTAGACAGACTGGATGGTCCCTAACTACTGGCAGACAGACTGGACAGTCCCTAACAACTGGTAGACAGACTGGACGGTCCCTGACTACTGGAGAACAGACTGGACGGTCCCTGACTACTGGTAGACAGACTGGACGATCCGTAACTATTGGAAGACAGACTGGACGGTCCCTAACTACTGGAAGACAGACTGGACGGTCCCTAACTACTGGAAGACAGACTGGACAGTCCCTAACTACTGTAGAAAGACTGGACGGTCCTAACTACTGGAAACAGACTGGACAGTCCCTAACTACTGGTAGACAGACTGGACAGTCCCTAACTACTAGTAGACAGACTGGATAGTCCCTAACTACTGTAAGAGACTGGACAGTCCCTAACTACTGGAAGACAGACTGGACAGTCCCTAACTACTGGAAGACAGACTGGACAGTCCCTAACTACTGGTAGACAGACTGGACAGTCCCTAACTACTGGTAGACAGACTGGACAGTCCCTACACTGGTAGACAGACTGGACAGTCCCTAACTACTGTAAGACAGACTGGACAATCCGTAACTATGTAGACAGACTGGACGGTCCCTAACTACTGGAAGACAGACTGGATGGTCCCTAACTACTGAAAGACAGACTGGACGGTCCCTAACTACTGGTAGACAGACTGGATGATCCCCTAACTACTGTAGACAGACTGGACATCCCTAACTATGTAGACAGACTGCATCCCTAACTACTGTAACAGACGACCATCCAACTACTGGCAACCAGCTGGCATCCCCTTAACTCACTGTATACAGACTGACAGCCATCAACTGCAACAGACTGATGGTCCCAACTACTGGAAGGACAGATTCCAGGACGTCACTAACTATGGAAGACAACGGCCGTCCCTAACTAACTAGTAACATGACTGGACGGTTTCGTAGACTACGGAAGTCAGACTGACATCCCTAACCTACTGGCAAGAGACTGACAGCCCTAACTTACTGCAACAGATTGGTCGTTCCTAACGTCAGACAGACTGTTGTCCCTGAACTACTGTAAGACAGACTGGACAGTTCCCAAACTACTGTAGTCCAGACTGGACAGTCCCTAACTACTGGTAGACAGACTGGACAGTCTCTAACTATTGGAAGACAGACTGGACAGTCCCTAACTACTGGAAGACAGACTGGACAGTCCCTAACTACTGGTAGACAGACTGGACAGTCCCCAACTACTGGCAGACAGATTGGTCAGTTCCTAACTGTCAGACAGACTGGACAGTCTCTAACTACTGGAAGACAGACTGGACGGTCCCTAACTACTGGTAGACACACTGGACGGTCCCTAACTACAGTCAGACAGACTGGACAGTCCCTAACTACTGGTAGATAGACTGGACGGTCCCTAACTACAGTCAGACAGACTGGACAGTCCCTAACTACTGGTAGACAGACTAGATTGTATCCCCATCACTGACAACGTACAAATATCCTGCAGATCCATCCTTATTAACACACCTCCACCTGCACCCTCAACCCCATATATAAACCAGCGTCATCACAACACCAGCAGCAAGCAACAGCGAGGTCTCACCGGCTGAGGTTACATTATTTCCAGCGTGTATAATATTTGTTGTGTCCCCGCGACCACGTAATGTTTTGCTTGTGGTGAGCGGATGTCAGAACTGTCACCTCCGCTACCTTGCCACTCTAGCAGACACCGCTAACTTTATGCATTGTTGCCCCCAAATATCCTTGTTTGGGATGAATTTAGAGGATCCAGGTTTTTTTTTTTTTTGAGATGTTTAAATATTGTTGTTGTCCGTGAGAAAATTCTGATGAGTTGGTTTTACTAGGAGAGTTCAGTGAGTTTTGTAGAAATTTAGCGGATTTGTGTTGCACTGCTGGATATCTGATAAATGATTCATGATATATGATAAATGATCAACCTTATTTCTACAATGTATGATTTACAACTGATTTAAGAATAGGTGACATTGTTGACATGCTTTATATAAAGCTTCTGGTTATGCAGAGCATTCAGGGCAGCCCTACGATAAAATTATAGCTCATAACTATTATTAGATTTTTTTTGCAAGAACAATTTGACGGGTTTATAAATACATTTAGCTATAACACTATAAGGTTATTACAAATGCATCTGCTAGATATATTATCATCTGATTAAATATTCTGACTCCTTGATATAACTCAGAATTATTGTAAATACTTCATTTCCTAAGAATACACAATTTATATAACTTCATCATCGGTATTTGTATAAAATATTATAACTGTACATTATGGCTTGGCTGTAGCCACCAATCAGAGAGGCTGAAAAGATATAAACAATTAACCAGTCAGAATGCAGCAGGTTCAATGAATCCAGGCAGTAACCAATCAGTGTATAGTTATCATCCCAGCTAGACTTTAAGCGGCCAATCAGCAGGCAGCTCTCATAGCAGAGTGAGTGAAGATACGGGCACCATTTTGAATTTTGGGGTAATATAATTGTTGCGAGGATAAACCAAAAGCTGGACTTATCTTGCTCTACTCTGCTCTCAACATCACTAAGGAGCTCCTTCGTCCTGTCCCTGGGACTCTCCTCCTGGACTAGTGACCAGGGCGCCACGTATCAGCTTTTCCGCTCTGTTGATTACCAAGGCCTGAAGAAAGCCGATTGTTGACTCAGTTTAAGTTTGGACATCTGGCTCTGCTGGAGCTTAGGCGTAGGGCCCACCTGACCTTATTGAGAACTTTATGCTCTCATATATATTCTCGATGGGGGTTCTTATTCTCTTATTAATTCCCTTTCAGCTTCAGGCTCTATCCTTTAAAACCTAGGAAGCAGGGCTCGATACGGCGTAAGCTTTAGTAGTTCTTTAAACCTGCAAAAATAACTTTTACAGGTGTATGACGTACCAAAAGGGACTACAATGTTGGGCCTTAACTGCCTACATTCGTTGAGTAAAGACTTCTCGCTGTCGTCGGAGCATCACTGACAAATTTCCACCCGTTCTCTGGGACGCTTGTCCTCATCTTACTTTGCCCGCTGGGCACTTCACAGGAAAGGAACCTGTCTTCGGCTCAATTTTTAACCAGCTTCAATATTTCGCTCTGATGCTCTGCTCAGTGTAACTGAACTATTAAATACGGTTACATAATTAAATTGCTTGTCCTAGTGTCATTGCTGTGTTTTCTAATACATTTTCTCGTTCAGACTGAAACTTTACTGCTAAATTCCCAGTAATATTTCAAATTGCAGTGTTCATCTGTGGTGTGAGTGTGTAACTTATGCTTTGTATTTTTACTGTGAACAAGCTTACTCCTGCATAATATTCAGCTTCATGAATACTTTCTTACTTGAGTAATTCGGTTACCTTTCAACTGTGTTAAGCATGTACATTAGTTGTGCTCTCGTCATATCCCCGGCTGTGGATACCTGAGACATAGGAGATGAGACTGGACCTTGTTGTTGCGTTTGTGTATGTTGTAAGTGAGGGTTAGATTGGGGCGCTCCAAGAGGGGCAGAATTCCAAACATTGGAACCATTGGTAGAGACCTGAGGAGTCCCACTTGATCCAGGCAGAGCTGGGAAGGAAGTTTGGGACATCGTTGGCGGTGCCTGGGGAGTGATCTTCTTAGAAGTGGACAGTTTCTTGGCTTCAAGAATTTTCTGCATTTCCTTTTTTCTTTCAGGACAAATAGCAGAAACAGCATGATGTTTTCCATTGCAGAGGACACATTTGGGTGTATTTTTGTTGTTACAATCTCGATACGAATGTTGGCCAGAGCAAATGCTACAAATCTGCCCTTGAGTACGCATTTGTTGTTGTTATGACCAAAGGCATAACACTTAAAACATTGTGTCACACTGACAAAGCGTTCAAGATAGATTTGGTCAGGTGTACATCTGGTGCCAAAACATTTGAAGCCATTTTGACACACAAGTTTGGCCTCCTCAGGTGTCTCAAGTATTAATTTTAAGGTTACCTTGTTGTTAGGATTAGAGAATTTATGTGCTTCTACAGCCCTAAATTCAAAATTCTCTGTATTAATGTCCTCAACAATTTCATTCACAGTGCTGTTTCATAAAACTGTTGATTCTGGCCACAAACACAGTCCTCTGAGCTTGATAGCTCTCAGGTGCAACTGGGGTAACACCAGAAGTCTTCAGTTTATCCAGGACATCATGCTTCAGCAGTTGAAGTAACTCTTCTTCCGAAGAGAGAAGTACTGCTCCAGCGTGGGTTTGAAAAACATCCACTGGAGCAACAGTTGAGTTGGAGCAAATACATGTTAGAATTTCTTTCATGGACATTTGATTACCATCAATGCGTAATCTTACACGTATCCTCGCCATGATGTCTAGGAAGGAGCATCTGGCAGAGGAGTTGCTTAACAAAAAGGGATCTTTCCTTAATGTTAGCCTAACATCCTATTTCAGCTGACTTATGAAGGTCAGCCCCTAAGATAGCCTACCCTCGAGTAGTGAGGAGAAAGGGCCCAAGGCAAAGATCTGCCGGATTTTAAAAACCACACGGGCTACTGGATGGTCAAAATGCCTTGTGTTAACTCGCCAAAGCGAAGTTGCCGAAAAAGAAGAAGATAGGAAATTCAGAAGGATAGCAATGTATGTAGTGTGTTAAGTGTGTGGGCCAGTGTTGATGTTTGGGTGAGGGGAGGATGGGGGGATGGGGATGAGAGGGGTGAACAAGCAAGCAAGTCACCGCCTTACTCTCTTGATGGGATGGGGCTCGAAGTGACTGCAAGCAAGTCTCCTCTCAGCTCTGGTGAAGAACTACTCAGGATAACCCAAGAAAATTCTCGAGCAACAGTGTTCAGAGTTGCTCAGCTGAAGAGCAGGAACGACGACGTCTTCTCTCCACGGTGGCTGGGCTGCTTCTCCTATTTTCTATTTTCTTTTCTTCTCTTCTCTGGACATTACTGGGTGCGACTTCAGTGGAAGCTCGACCGCCCAGAATTACCTACTAATTATAGGATGGCGTATGGACAGTTAAAGGGCCCAGCTCTGCGAACTGAGCAAGACACCAAAATTGTTGACTGCTTATAATGATATAATTAATAAATAGTTAAATAATAAATTGTTCTTACTTCAGGCGACGATAAATGCACACCTTAAGTGCACAGGTGGTCCACTGAGCGAAGTAATTGGGTAAATAATCTTAGGTGGACAATTTCCGGGTGTGACGTCAACTGAAGAGGAACTAATGAGGATATGTGAAGGTGTTAATGAAATAATGCAGTAATGTGCTGGGGCTGACTCGGGATACTGAGAGAGACTTGTTATTGTTAAAGTCTCATAATTCCAGTATGCCCAATAAATTAACCCAGGGAGCATAGGCTTATGCCCCTGAGAGAATGGAACAGTAATTAGTCCATTTTGAGGGATCAATAAATATGGATGGCCATGGTGTTGAAGTGCCTATATGCAGTAATGTGCTGGGGCTGACTTGGGATACTGAGAGAGACTTGTTATTGTTAGTCTCATAATTCCAGTATGCCCAACAAACCAGAGAGCATAGGCTTAGTGTCACACCTTACGATAAGAGGGAAATTGTTAATACCAGAAGCATGGAGTCTTGAGTGTGCTTTGGATGGAGCCCTACCTGAGGAGTTAACAGGTGGAAAGAATTAATGGGTGATTATGTAAATACCAATGTTGGAGTTCCCAAGCCAGGTGGCCAGTGAAGATGGGAAAATTGTACTCCACATTATGTAAGTCATCTAGCAACGACCTCCGCCCGGCCGCAGTGCGGAAAATATTTTAATTTTCCGAAGCTATAGTGCCTAATAGGTGTTTAATGCGTCGATATGAGTCAAAAATGTATTTGACAATGGGATAGAACCAAGAGTTCCCATGCGCGGATGTGCGGGGGTAGAGGTCGACTCGGGGCATGGGACAGGCGGCAGTGTTTTGAATGTAGTGAGGAGGCTGGGAAAGCATGGAACCAGGAAATTGACGTTCACGGTGGCCTAAGGATTAATATAGGCCTCATTTCATAATAGGAAGTGTCGTAACTGTTCCTGGTGGAGAGTGAGGGAACGTGATTTATGGGACCACCGTAATAGAGTGGTAAAATGAGTGAATAAGGGTAGGACCGGGTGACTGGCGCGTCACCATGGACTGTGTCCCGGGGAAAATTACCCTTGGTTTAATCATCACTCATTGGTCTCAGATCTTAATGGAGTGATCTCTAATGTGTATAATAATTATGAGACATTAAATCGCCTTGTGAATTGTAATGTAATTAATGATAATAACGCTAAGTTAAGAGAATGCGTGAAGTGAAATAAGTCGCCTTGCTCCGAGTGAACACGCTAGACCACGTTGTTCCCGTCACGAGGAAAGTGAAGTTCATTGAGTCACGACTTCTAAACCGGGACAAATCAACGGATACCTCGTCCTGCTGGAATAAGAACCGTGTCGGTGTAGCAGGACATCGAAATTAGATGGTGAATGGAGGAAATAAGGAGTATCAATCACCCACAGTTAAGTAACCCTTCTAGTTATAGCAGACTGATACTGGCCAATTAGGTATGTTGTAATTGGATAGGTTATGGGTGATCCAGCTACATCAAGTGACCCCCAGAGAATATCTGGTAAGTGGTGGGATTATATACAAATGTTTTTCTTTGATGGATGTATCCATGTGTAACCTACCCCCCCCCCTTCATTCAGTTACACTAATATAATCTATACAGTCCACAATTAATTAGTAGCGCCGTACT